GCCCCTGAATGGTAGTCTCTAATTGTGGACTATTTGTTCATGCGTTGGCTGTGGTTGTGTTATACTCAGATTCCACACATATATTTGTAAAATATGGTGCAGCAGGCGCTAGACATTCCGACACATAAAGCTATGGCTGTGATTCTTTGAGGCCAAGCGTTAGACACGATGGCCATTGTGCAAAACATGTGCTCGATATATCACTAGTCAATGTTACTCGTTGATAATGGTATGTTACTGTTGAAATATTTGTGTACAAATTGACACCCTCGCTCGCTTATATGTATCTTGCTTTTATACCCATGACTGTGTGCGGTAGCGACGACGCCTCACATTAGCTTGCCGTGGCAGTTTACGTCTTCCACACATCTCCACTTATACTCGATACTTTAAAAGTAACTATATAGCCGGTGCAGGGCCGCTATATAACAGCCGTGCAGGTGATAGCCTGGAAGGCTCAGGTCCATATTGTTCTGAGGCACCGGCCTATCGCATAATCGTTTTACAAAATGGGAGACCCACGTATTCTATTAGACCCTTCCAGGGTATTTGACGAAGGGATGGTTGTAGTTCTGGACTCTGTTATAGACGCTATGTTCGACTCTGGGACTGGGACCAATCGTGAGATCGCGCACAAGATACTTGAACAGTTCCGTACAATGCCTGACAGTTGGAAACATGTGACTGTAATTTTAGCACATTCAAACAATTCCAATACCAAATTCTTCGCACTACAGGTACTACAGGGGTGTATACAGACACGATGGAACATATTGCCTCTGGAAGAACGGTTAGGTATACGCCGTTACGTTTCGGAGATGGTTGTAAACTTGAGCATGGATGACGAGGCTTGTAACCGTGAGAAGCACTTTTTGACCAAATTAAACGAGACCTTGATACAAATTGTTAAACGGGAATGGCCAGATCGATGGGAAGACTTTATACCAGAGATTTGCAGAGCATCACAAATTTCACAGAGCCTTTGTGAAAACAGTATGAGGTTACTTAACATGCTGAGTGAAGAATTGTTCGACTTTGGGGAGGACCATATGCAAAGCCGCAGAGTACAACAGTTAACAGCTCGTATGAGTGCCGATTTTCGAAATATATTCGATATATGCCTATTTGTTATGCAAACTGCAATTAATAATCAAGATACCATAAGAGTATCCTTGATGAAACAAACGTTGAAATGCTTGGCGCACTTTTTGAAATGGATTCCGGTCGGCTACATATTTGAGCAGTACACACACAACAATGGAAGCGTTATATTGGTTGACCTTCTACTCGATCACTTTTGGGATCCCATTATGTATCGTGTTGAGTGTACCAAGTGCTTGACAGAGATTGCCAGCCTATCACTTTCTTCGCAGGAATTGCAGCTGTTTGGAGTACGTATAGCTAACATGTGGCCGAAACTAGTGGCTAAAATGTCATCATTACCACAAAATTCAATGAGCTATGACGATCCGAACCATGTAGCACCAAACATGCGCTTATTTTGGGAAACTTTCTATACACAGTTTAGCATATGCTGTACCAACTTCCTGAAAAACTTCCGTGAATCCATTGTTGAACGAGATAACAACAATCACCAATCGTTGATATATGTATTGGAGCGCTTAGTTCAAATAACGGATATCAACCATGAAGAGACATTCAAGATCTGTATTGACTACTGGCATACTTTTGTAACCTCCGTTATGCGTGAAGTTAAGGATCAACAACGACGACACGCTGCTGATCGTGGTATTATTATCCGTGAAGGCGGAGAAATTGAAACTTTCCATCCACAGCATATCAACTTGAACCAGACATATGAACCCAGCCGTTTAGTTATATACCGTACTGTTTTGGTTGAGTTGCAAAAGGTATTGATTAAGAGGATGGCAAAACCACAGGAAGTATACATTCTATATGATGCTGACGCTTGTGAAGTTACTAGGGAATATAACCCTAATACAGCAGAAATTGCACTTTACAATAGAATGAAAACGGTATTGATAATGTTAACTACATTGATACCGGATGATACGGAACGCATTATGATGGATGTGCTTGACCATGAAATGGAGCTTGCAAATTCCGGCAGTAGACATGATACCTGGGATCCTACAATACTCAACCGTCTTTGTTACAGTGTCGGTTCCATTTCTGGAGTTATGAATGAAACTGTAGAGAAACGTTTCTTGGTACTGATCATCAAATGTTTACTAAACATTTGTGAGGTAAAGACCGCTACAGGGGATAAGGCTATTGTGGCTTCGGATATCATGTACGTTGTAGGTCAGTATCCACGTTTCTTGAAGAATAATTGGAGGTTTCTGTGTACTGTACTGAACAAGTTGTTCGAATTCATGAGGGAGACTTTTCCCGGGGTACAGCAGATGGCCTGTGAAACCCTCTTGAAAATCACACATTCATGTAAAAAGGCTATAGCTACACAAAATTCTACAAAAGGACCTTATGTAGAAGAACTGATACAGTTACGTGATCCTATGACCAATGTACTTGACGAGCGGTTGATTCTATGGTTTTACGAATCCGTTGGTAACGTTATATCTGCTGTTGATATCAATGCTCGTGAACAGACGATTAGTAAGCTTATGGAGCGGTGCAACCGTGAATGGCAAGAGATCATGCCACATTGCGGTAACCCGAACCTGTTAACCAATGACCCTAACGTCTGGCGTGAACTTCAGAATGAGGTGATATACCAGGTGGAAACTACCCGTTCCATCATTCAGCATTTGCGCATGAATAACCGGGTTGCTAAGAGTACCGGGTTTGCCTACACCCAGCAACTATTATTGATGTACCCGGGTATAACACATCTATACAACATCTATACCTGTTATATCCAGCACGCGGTCCAAGCTGCGGGTCCGGCATGTCTGAAGCACAACAATGTGAACTTGATGCATCTGGTAAGGAGGTCGATATTACATTTATTGGAGACCTATATATCTCATCTTCCTAACAAGTTAACTCGTAGTTACTCAGATCCTTCTGTATCTGGTGGGAATACTATAGACGACGACGGTATCGACCTTGATCATATGGATGAGCTTTCGGTTCGCAATTACAACGACGTTTTGAACAAGCTGGTTAATTCTATAACCTCGACGGTTCTTGTAACGTACCGTAACTCGTTAGCTGAAACTCGCGATCATGAGGTGATATGTTTGGTCACCACATTGATCGAGAAGCTGGGTAACAACGGGGCACCAGTCCTCCCACAGATTTTCGAGCAGATTTTTGACTGCACCCTTGATATGGTGAAAATGGACTTCCACAGTTTCCCGGAACATCGTGAGCAGTTTTATGAGATGTTACAGAAATGCACTAAAGCGTGCTTCGAAGGTATACTATTATTACCTAGTGAGCGTTTACGTGCCTACGTGATGTCGTTGATTTGGGCCTTCAAGCACGAGCACCCATCTGTGGCGGAGAAGGGTCTAACAGTAGTTCGTGAATTTTTGAATAACCTCATGTTATTGGATCGTCGTCAGGAGAGTGCACATCGTTCTACTGGTGTGCAGCATATGTCTGCAGTACTAAGTTTCTGCCAAAGCTACTACTATTTGCTATTGAAGGAGACTCTGAGTGTGTTAACAGACACTTTGCACAAATCTGGTTTCCGTTTACAGACTGAGATTTTGCGTATACTTATCCGCTTTATGGAGTATGGTACGGTAAACGACCCTGGTTCTGAATTAACACGTGTCCATGTGATGAAATTTTTGGTTGATTTGATAAGTCGTAGTTTCGTCACATTGAACATAAAACAGGTTGAAGCTTTTGTTGTGGACCTCTTTAACTTTGCTGGCGAGACCATTGCGGATCAGAGCGACTCATTGAACTACAACGGTCAGCCTATGAAATTCCAAACCCATGTGAAAGACTTTCTACTTTCATTAAAGGAGTTTTCGGGTTCTGGTGAAGACTTTGACCGTATATTCGAGCAAGAGCGTCAAAACGCGATAGACCGTGCTCGTGTGATAGAGCAGCGTAAGCAGCACCAGCAGTTGCAGCCGACGAAGGAGGTTGCGTTGGACTAGGGTATTTTGGAGCGCAGCGTACCATCGCCGACATATCCAGTCTGCGATAACGTTTAGATGATTGGAGAGTTGCGCTCCGTATGCCAACCTCCTTCTAAGCTATATATTTGGTTAATAGCTGCCGATGTCAGTATTGGTGTTGAAATTGAGGCGCCAATTCTATTTGTAATCGGTTAAAACGCTACTCAACTAATACGGTTAAGCTATTAAAAAAAAACCATAGTATGCATATGTTTCATTGCGTTTTGCTGAAAGTTTTTAGCGTCACGGGCGCTAGACATTGCACAAAATGTATCTATGATGTGTATATTTGATGTTACATCGTGGGCTATGAGAAATAGAGAGGTCAATGTTGATACTGGTCCTGCTATCTAGGGGATTCCTAATATTTCTAGCCCGGGTAGCGGGGCATTAGATTTGCCTTTATATGGCTCGTTAGCCATGGAATATGCGAAAGTATGGTAGCATTACATTTCTGGCATTTAGAGCGGATATGATGTCGAGATAAACCTTCTACGTTCTGAGTTAAGCCTTGGCATTCACGTGGCACGTTTGCTTTTGTCCCATGGAATATCCAGGGCTAAATATTGATGTCTCGGAGACGCAGAAGCGGGCGAACGAGCGTTGTCATTTATTCTGACCGTTATTTTTTGAGACGGCTAGCGGTCACGGTTCTGTAAGGAATTACTGTTTCTATGCATACAGTGTCGCATTCTTTAGAGGTGGATAGTTAATAGTATATAGTATACTAGCTATTTTGTATAAATTTTCCTCGCTTTCGTGGGTCGTGTACCATCAATGGGGAGATGGTCCGCGTCGTGTGCGTGATCGTGATATTCTGCTATGCGGGGGTCCGCCCACTATAGAGTAGAGGCCCAGGAGTTCGGGTCCAGGAATCGTTCGGGTTTGTTGCTGCGGTGGGGGTGGCTTCCGCTTGAAATGGAGCGTAATGAGCCGCCCCTTGTTGAGGGGAGTTCGCACACCAGCGCCGGTAAGTTTCAAAATGATAATAGGTTATCTTCTGTCGATATGAGAGTTGTCAGCTGTGTCTATATTGTGAATGTTGATGGTAAAATAGTACCCAGCAGCGATACATAGCAGCTGTTTTCCTTCTATTCCTGCCATGCAACAACGTCATGTGTTACCATTGTTGAACAATTTGCGTTATGTTCGCTGGTCCTAGGCGCTTCGATAGTGCCATATACAGCTACAGGTGGCACTGTGTCTCAATGATTTATGCTTTTGATAATGTGTTATTATGAGCCAGATGATATGATCTGTTCATTTCATGTATTCTACGTGTGGAAGTTTATACTATACAGATCGCCCCCTGGTATTAGAGGAGCTAGAAACGCCGCATGACCGTAGTGGTGTTATAAACGATGCTGTAAAATACTTGGCCGGTTCTAGTTCCGCTCAATATACCCTGTGCTACACAAACGCCGCTGCTGAAGAGAAATTTTTCCCCTGCCAAGAGTATGATGGCGACGAGTGTAACTATGAACCTGATAGTTATTATGGTATTGTCTCATCATCTCTTGAGACTAGCAGTGACGCAGAATCCGAAATAGCATATGTACGAAAAATATGTCGTGACAATTCTGCTTTTCGTGATTGTATAGCTAAGGATTCCGAAGGTTTTCGTACACATTCAGATGCAAGCTGTTCCATAAATTCACCAGTATCGACACCTAGGAGGCAACCCGTTACTGCCGTACCCAGAGCGCGCGCTGACGAAGGTTGCACCCAAGGAAATGATGTCTCCTCTGAACGCGTCTCGTCTCACCCCCCAAAGAAAGGATATCCAATTACATGTATTCCTTCAGATGTGTACTCGAACCTTGAAATAAAAGGCAACAAAGTTACAAAAGCTGTTGAACGCTCACATAAGCTCGATATTAATATAAACACATCTGAAAAGGTAAATACAATGGATAAGAGGATGTTTAATCAACGATACTTATCGGCAGAAGCCCCTGAAAACAAATTGCGACCTACCTGGGATAACATGAAAACGCGCTCAATGTCTAACGAAAACCTAGTGTCAGGAGGTACCGCCGATTTGATGAACTTTGCAAAGGATTTCCGTGCTAAATACGGAACTACTAATTCTGAAGAGCCATTTGTGAGTTCCCCAACCCTGGGCTCACGTAAAAACTATAATGTCCATGCAGTCTCTGATGTAGAATGTGTCGACCCTATGTATAGCTTTGCAATGTCCGGTAGAACACGGAATAGAAACTATGCGCACTCTTTTAAATCTAATGATAATGAGGAATTATCATTTAGACACACTGCAGCCGATAAATATGCAAATAGTAACGATGTCGATAACGACCGACCTTTCTATCGAGGACGCATGTCAGAGACGGTGGAAGATCTTGAGCATCCTTTTGAAAAGTTACCAGGGTATGTGGGACTCAGGAAACCAGTCAATATACAAAAATTAGGACACACACCGTCTGATGATATACTTCTACGTGATTACAAGTCGGGCGCACAACAAGGGGTGTTTACAGAATATAATAAAATCACATCACCAATTGGAGTTGAAGAACGACTTAGATCACAATCATACGGTCATGGAGGAAATATTGTATCATACGATAGGCGCATTCAAATTCATTCTGAAAGACAGCATAGAGTGGAACCTAATGGGCAGGACACACGGCCAGGGAAAGTAGGTCCACATATTGCTGGAATGCGCGATTTCAGACAACAAATGGCTAATAGGACACCTGAGGTACAAACAGAAACGTTTGGGGACCATGAAACGGTGCATAATGTGGAATGTATAACTAGAGAGCCATATATTCGCCAAATGCAACATCTGTATACAAGTCATCCGACAATAGAAGCTACAACAATATCAGCTCCTATTGTGGAGCCTATAGGTACAATTGCCGAAAATACTCCGGTGAGTATATCGGAGGTTAATAGGCAAATTGATACGTATTTAAATTCTAAACCTTCACTTCGCATGGATAGGGGTGATCTAGGTAATCGACGTTCTAGTGTTCCTTTGGATTCTAAAAGGGAAGATACAATTCAGTTTGCTGATAAACCCAAGGTGGAATCTTATGGATATCAAGATGGATCTTCGGTAGTCTCGACGAATAGTACGAAACATTTTCATCGTGAGTATTCGGGCCTGTCGAGAATATCAGAAAACAGAGCTAGCACTGTGTACACGAACCTAGATAAAAGCAAAACTGCCATTGCTACGCCATCTTGCGATATATCCTCGGCATCAATAACACCACCACCTGGAATGGTGAGCTACGCTAATGAAAGGGTGCTAAAAGAGGATATAGACACACCTATGCAAGGGGAATCATGGATGTTCGAGATTGATTCACAAATCTCACAAGTTAATTCAGTTTCCCCGGGTATAACGGCGCCAGAAAACTTTTTATCACCAAATAACGACGACCCATGCAACGTTGTTATCGATAATAGCAAATCGGGTGATGTCAATTTGTATGATTCTGGCCGCATTGTCCTTCCGGATCCTGCTTGTGCAGTAGATCCGTTGGAACATCCCAGTAACACTGGCCGGGATATAAGCACACATTATACAACAGTGCAAACCGAAGCACTTACAAAAACGGCTACAGTATTAGAACGGTCGCCTGCAGATTATGAACTCAGCGACGGAGAACCTACAAGAACAAACCATATTGAAGGTTGTTGCGAACCAGGCACACCGCCTTCAAGAGCTACAATGTCATTCGGTGACGAGCTGGGTTCCTATATCCCAGGAGGGTGCTTACCAGATTCCGCATTCAGGTCGTCAATTGAACCCGGTATATTCGATGGCGACGTAGTGCGCCCATACCTGGAGAGTACCCAGGAACAACAGCCTCCTCTCGCGCCATTATTCACGTTTGGCGGTCCTAATGTTAAGAGATATAGCAACTTATCATACAGCGAACGTGGATTCAAGCACGGTTCTCTGGATGCTAGAACAAACTCTTTTCCTTGGAGGCACCAACGAAGCCTTGACACTATGCAAAGTGACGAATGTATCAGTTCAAGATACAAGCTCATTAAAAACGGGCATCATAGTAGTATACCTACGTACACACACAACTATTCAATGCCATCTGATGCACCGGGAGAAGAGTGCTTAACTTGGAGACAAAGAAGTCTGCATCCATCGGATTCGGATGTCCAACCTTTAAACCGTCATGGCAAAAACAGCTGTGATACCATTGGACAATTTGATTTTGTAACACCCAAAGATTATGATGTGGACCATAGGCCATTAATAAGCCATCTGGGTCTATATGATGGTGCAAAACGTGAAATTTTGGGTCGTCATTTAAGAAAATATTCGCACAATTCTTCCGCGGCGTCAAGTGATTATGTCCGCATGCCTTCAGATGCTCATAGTTACGCAAAGACAAGATGCGTAGTACCGGAATCGGTCTATGATGATGATGAGGACGGCATTAGGCCTGCAGAATCTGAGGCTGCTTCCCGCGGGAAAATGTCACTTGGTTCTGTAGAGACTCTTCTGTCTCAGAGTGTGGATAGAGCAGGCGACTTGGAACCTTTGGTAGCGCTTGTAAAGCAATTAAACACTGCTTTGGAGGGCCAGAAACGTATGGAGACGTTAAAAGGATCTGTGCCGATTGTTGAAGAGGGTGTAAATGTCTCTTCAATAACAAAAGGACGCGAGCAACTGGACACCGCCATACAAACAGTCCCAAATGATACCGATTTGTTTCGTCGTCAATCGGTGGATTCTCAGTGCCATGACTTACCTCATAATAAGGTAACAATTGGTACCCAGACGGTTGCAATGGGTAGAGAGCGACGTTCTAGCACATCTTCTAGGGGCAGCGTATCTGTATCTTTTAGTATGGATGCAGCTGACGATGCAGCATATAGTGCCCCTAATCATAACAAGCGTATTGATGCTTCAACCAACACTCCTTCCCAATTCCCATTATACAGCAAGTCTGTGGAATCGATTTATTCGAGCCCCAGCGAACCAGAGGGATATATGAATCCATTCGCTAAGGAAGCTCTGGTGTCCCGAATGACGGGGAGTTCGACATCACGTTCGTTGCCACGCCATAACAGTGGTCCTAACAGGCCCTTGTACACTAGCGGCGATTCGGACGACGATGTTGGTAGAGCCAGAGAGGAGGCGGTTTCATCCTCTAGAGACAAGGGGAGGCCCTCTTTAAGTATCCCAGAAGGGTTAACTGAGGAGGAGCTTATGGAAGCATACAACGAGGTGAAGAAACTAATTCGTATCTTCCACGTGAAAGATGTCAAGTCGCTTACCCGTGCGGTGACGGCGCGTGTTAACAGAACTTCGATATGAAACTTGATATGTGTTCTATGACTCCATATATAATGTGTAGCGTGATCTCTATAAAGTGAGGCGGGAAACGTTCCCATTTCGTGACATTAAAATCGCTATATTAAATAAAGGAAAAATATTATCAATCATGGAGCGTTATACTCGAGTTGTCGGCAAATTGCCGGAAGAGTCGCTCTCGTATACCAACTGTGTAAGTCCCGTTATGTTTTACGGTGTTTCGTACGAAGCTCCCGTGCTTAAATAGATGTACTTAGCTCAAAGTGTATGTCTGTTTGAGGTCAATATATACAGGCATATGTAAATCGAGAGCTCTATGACGTCCTGAAAGCACGTTCATTCATGGCCTATGGGTCCGTGAACACTATGATCTTCTGTTTCAGGTATGTTTTCGCACCTTGCTCGCCAAATACTCTCTAGGCATCATCCATCATGTGGTCCGAATGACATTTTTCTTAATAGCTGCGCAAGACAGCTTATCGCCGCCTCAATTGGCGAAGTTGTAGAGGTCATCCCGGTATCTGATAGTGGCCGTAAGACTCTGTTTGGTCGCGCTGAAGAAGCGCCGTTTGCACGTGCTGGACGCATAGTATTCGAAGTATCGTTTTTCCGCGCGTCACAAAAGGGTTTGTCATGGACACATAATCCTAACAACCATGCAGCGGCGCAACATGTCATCAATTTTGACCATCTGGAAGTGGTAGCCAGAGAATCGCTATTAAACCATGTACTGCATCTGACACAAAGTGTAGCTATAGTACAGGCTGGGCTGACACTTCGTCTAAGGTGGGTAGTAATTACTGTCGTGACATTTTACAGAGTGACGAAAATCGTCCCAACAGGGCCTAATAAACAGGGTGAATCTGTGGATATGTTGATGAGAGGATGTTTTGTAGAGGAAACCAAGCTTGATTTCAACTATGTCTCAGCTGATGGGAGACAACATGCGATACCATCAAAGGAAGCAGGTATATTGAAACCCAATTTCAACTTTGAAGAAATGGGTATTGGTGGTCTTGATAATGAATTTGCTGATATATTCCGTCGAGCGTTCGCCTCACGGATATACCCACCGGAGCTATTAAAGCAACTCGGTATATCGCACGTAAAGGGTTGGTGCCTAATACATGGTCTTGACACTATGCAGGTATGCTACTATACGGTCCACCGGGTACCGGTAAGACGCTCATTGCGAGGCAGTTATCCAAGGCGTTAAATTGTCATAAACCAAAAATAGTAAATGGGCCGGAAGTCATGAGCCGGTTTTTTGGTCAATCGGAGGAAAATATTCGTAACCTTTTTAAGGATGCAGAGGAAGAATATGCACGGCTAGGGGACCGATCCAGTTTACATATCATTATATTCGATGAAATTGACTCTATTTGTCAACGTAGAGGAACGGATACTTCCGGTACAGGGGCCCGTGATAGCATTGTAAACCAGCTATTGTCAAAGATAGACGGTATTGATGCACTGAACAACATCCTTCTTATAGGTATGACAAACCGTATAGATATGATTGACGAGGCACTTTTACGACCAGGTCGTTTTGAAGTACATATTGAAGTAGGACTTCCTGACAAAGCTGGTCGTTGTCAGATACTTAAGATCCACACCCGTGTGATGCGTGAATCCAAACGTCTCGCGGATGATGTTGACCTTGATGAGATATGTGCACTTACCAAAAATTATTCAGGAGCTGAGCTTGAAGGTATGGTGAAGTGCGCAGTATCATATGCTATACAACGTCATGTGGACGGTAGCGATATTACCAAACCGAAAGATATGGACAAGATCATAGTAACACAAGCTGATTTCCTATTGGCATTGAATGAAGTAAGACCAGCATATGGTGTAGATTCAACCAACCTGACTGGGTTCACTCGTCATGGTATTGTACCGTTTGGACACAAATTCCATCAGGTACTGGAAACATGTACTATTTTGGCAGGACAGGTTCAAAAATCTGAAAAAACACCGGTACTGTCAGTATTGCTTCACGGTCCAGTTGGTTGCGGTAAATCAGCTTTAGCAGCTCATGTCGCATCTGTTACAAATTTCCCGTTCGTCAAGGTTGTATCGCCAGAGAACTACATTGGTCTATCGGTATGTTATATATATAGAAGACAGTCTCCTAATCTGATAAATAGGAACTGGCAAGAGTAAATGCTATACACAAGGCCTTCGATGATGCGCATAAGACGCCACAGTCGTTGATTATTCTGGATGACATCGAACGACTTATCGACTACACCCCGATAGGACCACGTTTCAGTAACACCATCATGCAGTGTTTACTAATCCTGATTAAGAAGGCCCCTAAACATGGGCGCCGCATTTTCGTCATTGGTACAACGTCAGAGGATTCATTCATGGAGATGGCCAACGTAACACAGGCTTTCACAGTTTCTGTGGAAGTTCCAATGGTCACAGGATCAACGGAGATCTATCAAGCGCTTTCAGGAGCACCTCCATCGGAAGTGCCGTTTTCGGAGGATGAGATTAGACAGGTGAGTACATCCTGCGTCTTTAATAAAATTATAAAACTTGTTATAGGTGGCTAATTGCGGCCGTATCAGCGAGATAGGTATCAAGAATCTGATGTTAGCACTGGAGATCGCAGTTCAACGTACCGTAGAAGAAGGTATTTCATACAGTTGGTCACACATAAAAAATTCAGGCGGCAAACACATCACAGCATCTACTTTCTTCGATAGTCTTCTAGCATCTGGATACAATTTTAAACACTGATGTCTATAATATATTCTAAAGTTGTATAGTAGTGGTAGTGCGCCCCGGGTTATATCTGGATATCGTGAGGCCCACCTGTGGATTCCATGATCTAAATTTCACACATATATTCGAAGGATAACTTTCCTTCTAATATTTAATGCCACGATGATATTTAAAAGGGTTTTTCTTCGTGCTCCGCGCGCTACTAGCGCTGGACCGGCTGAAAAAACCGTTCTCCAAGAACTCGCATATCAACGTCGAGTAAACGTATGTGATCTATGTCCAATATGAACATTCTGTAGCGTTGGATTTTCAGGGGTATGTGCGTAGCTGCGGCAGCCACGGGTACCGTGGTGTGCCTACGAAGTCCAGACAGTTCACTCTACACCTTTATTATACCGCTCATAAGGACATATCTGGACCCAGAAATGGCTCACAAATTGAGTTTGACGGCATTGAAGTTAGGAATTGCACCAGTTGATTACTCAGTTGATCCGCCGGTTATCCAGAGTCGTATCAAAGATGTTGTATTCTTCAACCCTATTGGTAAGTATTAACGCAAACTAAACGTTTCCCAGCATCTTCCTGGGCGCTACATTATTGATTTCATTCCTCTCGAATGGTATACATCATTCCTCGCTTTCTCTATTACCTTGTTTCTATCCAACTATTTTCCAGGTATGGCAGCGGGATACGATAAACATGTAGAGGCACCCCTTGAAATCTTGAGATTAGGTTTCGGGTTCATAGAATTAGGAACTGTTCTACCACTTCCACAGGAAGGTAACCCCAAACCCGTCCTTTTCCGCCTTCACAACAGCAAGGCGCTAGTGAACCGTTGCGGATTCAATAGTGTTGGCCTTGATGTTGCACTACCTAGACTGAGACGTGTTCGTCAAAAACAAGCTGATGATTTACTTACAAAAGATTTCATGATAGGCGTCAGTGTCGGTAAGTCTACCAAATTTTGGTCTATCTAGCGTCTTTTAGGGAAGAACCTACATGGAGACATCATTGCGGACACCGTTCACGTAATTAAGGGAGTTGCACGTTATTCGGACTATCTAGCTTTGAATGTGAGCTCGCCAAATACTCCACATCTCCGCGATAACCAAAGACGTGAGCCTTTAATAGCACTGATCAACGCTGCCCGTGGAGCAATCGAACATGTCATTTCTGAAATCAAGGCTGAAGGCGGCAGTTTTAGTAATACGACAAAAAAGGCGCCACTATTACTTATAAAGATATCTGTATGTGGATTGTATTTCGTTCTAAATGCTTTTGCAGCCCGATCTAAGTCGTCAAGAACTTGAGGATATTGCCGATATTGTGGGTTGTAAATGGATATCAATTATATATTTGCAGGCATTAACACAAAATGTCGACGGTATAATAGCGACAAACACCACGGTATGCCATTAAAATATAAATTAGTTAATTTTCTCAGATTACCAGGCCGGATGTCTCTCCTGATGAGCTTGAGAAAGCGGGTAATCCCGCTGGAGGATTAAGTGGGCGGCCACTGAAGAAGTTATCGAAACGACTGGTATACGATCTTTACGAGTTGACCGAAGGAAAGGTGCCGATAATAGCTGTGAGTTTATTATCCGGATCTATTAAGTAGTATCACAGTGTGGCGGTATTTCTAGTGCTCAGGATGCGCTGGAGATGATAGAATCGGGCGCTACACTGTGTCAAATGTTTACTGGTTTGGTAAGAAAGGAAGATGAGGATATCATCGCAACACAGGTGTATGAGGGGCCGGGACTACCAAGCAGAGTGAAGAATGGTTTGGCAGAACTGTTGATGCGCAAAGGTAAATTTCTTGGAAAATAATGATAACATTTAAAACAGGATATGTGAACGTATCCGAAGCTATCGGTGCAGAACATCGTAGGCGTCGTGCTGCTACACCGCCTTCAACACCACCCTCCACGACGCCCGCAACACGTCAACAGAAATAGACATTCATAACGAAATGACATCGCAACAAACTATTCTTTTATATCATATAATACATATGGTGCAGCTATTTTTTATATGTGTAAGCGATCCATCCAATTAGAGCTAGGTGTGTACGCATCTACTCAGACGATGTGTATCGACTTTTCATCTTAATAATGCCATATCTCACGGCAAGATCCGTATAATATGGATAGTAAAATTGGTTGAAACTAAAAAAATCATAGTTCAGTCAATGACGCTTGAAATACGCTACCATTCTACATCGTCCTACAATATTAGGAGGACATAATGGTAAAGATAGAAATCTGGGAGCAGCGCAGCAGCACCGAATCTGAAGTGAGCAGTGATGATGATGTACATGTTAAAAGAGTGCCACTATTCGATCGGTTGCTGCCAGCATTTGGCAAATCCAGGCCTGAGCCGGTAAGTATATGACCACTCATTGTAACATAATTTCTTAAGGTATCGCAAACATCAACAGAGTCTGAGTCCACAAGTAGCTCTGAATCGGTAGCTTATGAAAGTCATACCGAAAGCGAGAGCTCCAAGGCATCGGAGGTAGAAGAGGCTGCCGAGTATGACGCCGATTGGCGACGTCTACAACATGTACGTGCTGCAAATCGGCAATCCCCAGCTACATTTGGTGACTGGAAAGCACATCCACGTGCATGGGATAGCGTTTTCTATATATCTTCGATGCATAACCTAGAGAATGTAGAGCAAAGCTTCTTCTATTGTATAAGAGTACAACATGTCAATGAACGAATTTCAGGATCGAGCGGACTAGGTAATCTAACAATGTACACACAGAGATTCACTCTAAAACCCGGTGAAGATTTTAAGTTGGAAACACCACTTTTCATCTGGAAAAAAAGAAGGTTGACCTTGCCATATGGACAGTTGCAGCACTACGTGATCGAAATCGAATTGTGGAAAACACATCGACTACGCATAAATTCGCTTCACGCATCGCAAAGGATAACATTTCAAGATATCATAGAACGAAACTCAAACATCAACATCACTCTCAACATGTACATACCCAACCAAGTCGCTGGAGGCACTAGTGGATTACCTTCTGACGCAGGAATGATAACAGAAGCTTCCGAGCGTAGATACCCAGTACATAAACTGTCGGTATTTCTCCTGCTCGAGGAGGTGTTCGATTTCTTTTTTGTCTTTGAAAATTGGTGGTTCACAATGTCACCGGAACTGCCTGATGCTGTCAAGGAGCTGCCCAAGACACTGAAGATATCGGTACCTTCCGCTATGGGTAGTGCTTGGCAGAGCCGCACTACAGGCGCAGCAACATCGGCATATTGGTCAGCACCAGGCACTTTCCGTTTCCAAGGTACACTGCGTCAGTTGAGATATGCGTCATTCACAGCAAAGGTTTACTGTGTTCACCGAAGTAGGTTCATAAGCCGTCCTCCCGCTTTACTTGGTACTTGCGTGTTATCGTTGAAGTCGGTACAGGAATTGCCGCTGGTACGTGGTGTGGTCAAAAAGTTGACCTTGGGTACCAGAAATATGTTCAGTGGTACAATCCAAGGTAACATTAGATGCTGTATCAAGAGTTGTACTGTCAACTTTTTTGAAGATCTAAAATCAAGGCCAGCACAACCGATTACAGGTTCTGCCCTAATAACACAGCTCGACCACCGTTGTCACTATCTAGTGGTACGAGTTATTAGATGTTCTAGTCTACCAGCATCTAATACCGATTCGAATACTTCAGACCCCATGGTCAAGGTAAAATGGGACGGTATTGTGAACTGTACTGGTGTTGTGGAATCTACGGTATCGCCAATATACAATCAAAACATGTACTTCCCAATCCATCTTGTAGACAACAGAGAGCTTACAGATCCCGCGTTGATACGTCACAGTCTACCTGTAGATATGTCATCCAAGGGTCCTGTAATGGTAGAAGTGTGGGACCATGACGATGCTTCCAGCGAGTTCCTGGGATCTGTAGAGGTACCTTTATCTAAGTTGTATACGCAAGGTGTGCTACAACGACGTAGTCTCGTAGATGGGATTTTCAGTGCAGGTTCATATGAAGCCGAAATGGATGATGAAGATGAGTTCGAGGAAGAGCCGACATTAACATACACTGGTGATACAGCCTCCAGTGCACCTTATCGACGTCACATGACAAGGCTATACGAGGCAACACTACCATTGACAGGTTCAACAGTGGCGCACCGAGGTAGAAAACCAACGGTATCTGTAGAAATGTATATTCTTCCGCCAATGCCTAACGACCTGTACATACCAGACGAGCCGAAGAAACATATACGTACAGACATCTATCGTGACCTAAGTAGACGTTGGACAAAAGATTTTGATGCGTGGCAGACAGCATATTGCGACCGGTTTCCGGGCGCTATTCCACGCCGTAGGTTTACTTGTGTAACTAAGTGTGCCGCGAATGTGAATGAAAATATGCAATCGGATTTAATGCCACTCTGTTATTTCGTCAAACCCATCCAAGTATACATACAACTATCACCTCCAGGAGAGTTGATGCATTGGATATCGAACTTCACTTACAAAGATGATGGTATGGCATCAATTGGAGGACGTATTCTTATAGAGTCATGGCAGATGCCCTCGAGGTTCGTGCTTACACGAAAAGGTGGCCTTCATGACCGAGCACTATTGCTGTGTAGCTGCCTCTTGGGCCTTGGATACGACGCCTATGTTTGCAAGGGCACGCTGGAAAATGGTTATAGGGAACATTGCTGGGTAATGACACGTCATGCCGATGGTACAGTAACATTTTGGGAAACTGCCAACAAGCGTATGTGGCACCTTCCCAGACGATGGAGGACGCATGTGAAGGAGGATGTATCGCAGCACGAAAATATCGTTAAGGCTAGTGGTAATTACGCGCCTATTCAGGAAACGCAACAGGCTCCAGAGCAAAAACCGAATAACAAGACTTACATACACCCGGGGTTACAACGACCACGAAAAAGGCTTATGGATTATGAGCTTTATGGCAATGACTATGTAGCGGACGTTAAAGTTGACCTTCGTAAAATATTCAGCGGCAACGAATTTATCACAGATGCTAACTCCTCGCTACCGAAACAAACTGCCTTCCTTGTAGACAATCGTCAGTTAGACAAGGCTGCTCGTAGGCGGAGCACGTGTGATCCGAAGTCATATCTACTGGTTCCGGGAGAGACGCTAGTCTATTTACCATATTCCACTCTTGAGGTTGTTTTCAATGATAAGCAGGTTTGGGGCAATATGCAATCACAACACCCTAGCTGCATCACATATGATCTGGATTCCCAAGATGCCTGGAAACCGTTTCTAAAAGTGTCACCCAGCGATCCCATAATGCCAGATGTACAAATTACTGCGCCGGCACCACAAGCGGTTTGCGTTGCCACATCTCGCGAAATATTGACAGATATCATAGAGATGATAGAGCTCATGTACGCACAGAAAGGACGAGTAGCCAATATTGCACGTGACCAACAGATGGACGAACGCTTAGACTCTCTTATTGACCTATTAGAATTCCGGCAACGTCTTGATGGTCAGTTCGATCCTGGCATGCCGCCTCATCTACTAGGATGGAGTACGAAACGATCCAGCAAGATCCGAGCTAGTAATACTGCCGGTAAGGAAAGAGCTAAGAAAACTGTAGGCGAAAATGCTGCTGAATCGGCTCCAAAAGTCTCACTACCGATTACTGTAAATGGCCATATGACGGCTGACGATGACAAATTGCGCCAGATGCGTAGTGTCATGGAGACTGCTAATCAACTCGCTGAGTGCATAAAGGATAAGGACGATGACGAGTATGACTCCGACGAAACCGCCGCATCAACGGACGACAGTTTGGTGTTTGATCCTTCAGTTGCCCATGTAACTCAGAGAACAGAGGAAGGGAACCGTCGCAATCTGCCACCTCAAACACAATCTCGTCCTAAGAGAACATGGGGGCTAGGACTCGCTTCTAATATGAAAGCTATACTTAAGTCTGCCCCTAGGCATAATGCTATGCCTGAAGGTAATCTTAACACGGCTGTAAGTGCTCCTGTTCCACGGTATAGCTGGTATGCTACCATATCGCACGCAGGTTTTCGATTACGAAAGTCGTCGGTAAAGATTAATGTTCCTCAACTGGAAATTATGAGAGTTTTGTCAAATGCTTCAGAACATCTTGTAACTAGTAATGTGGAGGAGCTATCTGACTACCGATATGAGGTAGAGGCAGTATCATCTCCAAAGTCTGAAGGTGATGCTGATGTTCCTACTCCCTTGTCAGCGTTCGGTGATGTGATAGGGCCATTACCATGGAACCATCCACTTTCAGACTACAAGCAGTGCATCACATCGGCTGTCCATCTCAAGGCCCCGGCTGCAAACAATAACCGACAACAGCCCAGAGGTATCCGACTACCGGCTGCTTCCGGACAAAGGCAAGGCAAAAGAATCGCGAAACCCAGACGTAACCTGCTCGGAAACCTATTGAACCGCTTCAGATCGAATGATGTACCTGAGGCCCACACTCTACCACAGTTTATGGCAGACATGCAATCTGTGGTTAACGAGCGTAAATTTACGCCTCAATATATGGAACACCGTTTTACAATACCAAACGACTTCCGAATACATGAGAGCAAACAAATTTCAAAATGGAACTGGTATTACAATATGGAAGCACGTCAGTTTGCTTGGAGGCGGCATCTACCTATACCACCAAACCACACCTTCATTGGAGTACCAATACACTTCTCGACGAGTGATATCAATGAGATTCGTCATCTGCTAGACTGTAGCAAACGATGCAAGAAGCTACTGGTCCCTGATGTCGAGAGATGTGTCAATGTGGTTTATGTCAAGGTATTTCCGCTAGTAGGCGGTGTTTTCTCCACGTGGATATTCCTAGGATGCCACGTACCTTGGAACCTACAATAAATACATTTGTACATATATATCAAATTTCAAATTTTAGAGTTATGTGCTTACAATTAGTCAAACTAGATAATGTACAACTATCTCAACTCTATGTTGAACGTGTTAACGATACGATCAAGCGCAAGCTGATGAATCTTGTTGACAAATGCGTTGGTTAGGTTCTCACCCATGGCACGGTAAGTTATACGGTAGCATACGCTTTTGCGCCCTGTTTCGGGATGTATATATTGCGATATTTCTGCTACGTCCTCCACATAATCGCGGGAGAGCTCGTCAAAGATATATCTGAATTCAGATTCGTCGAACTTTCGTTTATCCATAGCTGAACCATCGATGTAGAAAGATATATCTCTTGATATTGGAGGATTGCGACTATAAGGTTTGAAAACCGGCAATTTACCCGAACCAATGGACCATCGATACTGACGCAAGAACCGTTCGTCCTCTTCCCAGAACTGTCGTATATCTGTTATACGGCAGAGAACCATGGCCAAACGTTCAAGACCTATTCCGAAGGCCCATCCTCCAACAATATCTGTGTCCTCGCCACTGGAGCTCTCCATACTACCACTGCTCCGTATGATGTTGTCTATGATAACATCTTTCAACTTTCCGCAGCCTAGAATCTCCACCCATTCTCCGTTAAGTTTCACATTTATTTCAAATGAGGGGTCAGTGAAAGGGAACGAAGTATCGCTATCCCATTGTAACCATTCCTTCAATGGTTGTTTGACTAATTCCTTGTAGTCGCTACTCGCTTTCGATGAATTATTAGCACTACCACTCTTGGCTTTGCTCGAACTATCATTAGTCGTTGCCACTGAAATATGGCTGTCGCCATCTGTGTCTACCACCCTGCTAAAAAGGTGTGCCAGCAGTTTTTCCAATGTAACCTTCAAATGATGGATTATCAGATCTTCATCAGTTGGATTGCCAGATAAATCACTGTATGTCTCACCAAATTCCTCCAATTCACCACGCGTAAACAGCATGATGCCATCCATTTGATGAAACACCGGGTAGTGCTCAGAATCAATGGCATCCCTGCGAAATACCTGACCTACAATTCACATTTAGATTCAACTTATATAACAATTACCTGAATATATAGCCCGTCTCAATCCATTACGCAGTATTTCGGGCAGATGTGAAGTGCTATGGGTCGGGAGTACCCTGTGTTTTGAGTGGCCTAATTCATTTGCCATGCGATTTATTACACCATTTGTATATCGACCTTCTTTCACATCGGCTATAATTTTTGGGTGTAAATCAGCCTTCTGTCTAGCGAAATTCCCGACATATTCATCAGAAACGTAGAAATTATCACACGGTTCCCGGCTGACGTGGTTCAGCGGCACCTGCAGCTCATCGAAATTATCTCTAATAGTTACAGGTTGCGAATCAAATGAGATATATGAGAATGGTGGGCCTGTATTCAGGTGTTCATTATAGTTATTCTTAAAGAAGTCTTTAATTATTTCAGCTGTCTGACCTACGGGGTTGGCCGGATCAATGTCTAGTCTTCGACCAAGTTTGCTTTTGACATGGGTTGGAATACCAGTATAAGTGTGTGCTTGGGCGCGTTGATTTGATTTTAAAAGGTACTTCATCAATTGGTAAGATGATGGACACCTAAAGGCGCCGACATGGTACGCCATGTGTTTCGCAGAAATCAACCATATAAGGATATAAGGGAAGCCTCGCGAGTGTGTTGTCTCGTGTGGAGCTCCCTTGATGAATAAAATGTCCAAAAAGAACCATAAAAAGAGCCAAATCAACAGTGTCCAGAGTCTGCACATAGTATGGGTGCAAGAGTTCAGTTTCAGAGCGACTCCTACGGTTCATTCATTATAATATATTCTTCGAAATCCATATTACAAATTTTTGTGTGCATAATGTCTATTTGAATTATCAATTTCTGGATGCTGTCTACATACGAATAACGTCGTGTGGAATAGTAATAAATATAAACACAAAAACAAAACTAGACATCATGAAACTCCTTTTTACTGCCGTATTTACCCTAATTACGGTGGTCATATCACCCTCCACAACCCACCGTATCGCCGACACTCCAGAAGAAGGGGATTTGAGGATCGATATAAACAAATCGAATATTGCCCCTATTGATGACAAGAATGCCATTCCAGAACAAGAACCCAATGTTGAGACTCCATCATCCATGGAAGGTGACGAAGAAGAAAAAAAGGAAAGTGATTTGGACGGTAACGTAACGGAGTGCTCAATGGAAACTGAGAGTGTTATACCCTTAGAGGAGTCTGATATTACTATAGTTGGGTATGATGATAATGGAAGTAGCTACATACAACAACAGGTAAACAGCTTTTCATTTAGTCAAGATGTCAACGTGCCTTATAAATCGGACAAGGGCTTCCGTCCGCAGTATAATAGACCTGCCCGACGAAATACTGGCAAAATTCCGGTTAGGCCAAATAGTAGGGCACCTTTATCGTCAAATAGGGTATCTAATCCTCACATTAGAACCACCACTTCCCAAAAACCTATACGCCTCTTACAGACCGGTACGAATCGCGGGAACCGCCATCGTCCTAGACAACGCAGGAGGCGAAATGTAAATGGTAGTGGCAACCGTCGGAGGGTCCAACCAAAGACTCAAAACAATCGTGATATTCGAAAACCACAGAATAATGGATCTGATTTACAGAAGTCGGGAGAATCCAAAGCATATGCAAGGCAGACACTTCCCAGGGAGGATAATGACGACACTGATAATGTTGTGGATGCTGAAGAAAAGCCGGTGATCAAACGTCGTCTAACTGAACGAAACTCCTACGGTAATGGGATTCTCGATGCAGATGAAGAGACGAGTCGCGAACTGTTAAAGCAATTGACTAGACATTTTGACGAAGATGATGGTGTGGCGCCTGTAAGCGCAAGACCTGCTAGAAGCCCACCGCGGAGCAGAATGACATTGAGAACTCCAAATGTAGTTAAGGGATACCCAGTGAAATTCACTAACCGTGACGTAGAGAGCAGACTCGATGATGATGATATCGAAAAGGCACTTGAAGCGATGGAGTCGGAACAAAACACGGAAACTAACAACACAAGTAACAAAACAGGGCCCATTGATCCGATGGATTCGGTATTTTCTCATGACACCGATGGTTCCAGCGACGATGATGAAGGGGATGACATGGACAATGATGTAGGACCATACTTCTCCTCACAGTCAAGAGAGATGGATAACGCAAAAAGATCCACAGTCAACGGTATGTCATAGATGTGATATTCGCATTGTTAAAAGTTGTTCAGGTAACACTAGGGTTCAACAAAATACAAGGTCGCATCTTAGCAGAAAACAACGTGCACCATCAGGATGGTAAGGAAAAGAATACTAATTCCAGGGAAGCGCTTCAACAAGATTATTTCGGAAAATCAGTTATGAATCCTGGCTACACGAATGTTGCTAACTGCGAGAAGGTCGATGACTCAAAGTACAGCAATTTTTTACAGATGCAAGCCAGCAGAAAACCAACCTACAACTATATGAAACCTAAAAGGCCTATACCCACCGAAAAAACAAGAAAAAAGTACGAAGATGCCATAGAACATGATACATTGGACGAATTGATGGATGATGACGGAAATGATCACCTTCGTCAAAACGACTCACCAGATGCATATATGACAGAAGGTGATGATGCTGACGATCCTGATGATTCACCAAGATATAACGACGACGACTATCATAGTACCACAGGTGACGATGATTCGTATGAAGATTCCGAAGATTTAAATAGTAATATGCTTTTCAATGAAAACTATGACGGCGGTGACAACAATGTCGATGATAAGTCCAACGAATTCAATGCCTACGAAGAAAATAATAATGGACTAATGGATGATAGTCCACAGGAAAATGAATATGAATCCGAAAATGGTTACAACGAGATAAATGACACTGATGATTACGATGACGTTATTGAAGAGGAGGAAGAAGAAACAGGTGAAGATATAGGGGATGTCCTATCTCCTAATGGCCTCGAATATCTTGGGGCAGGTTACGATTTGTTGAAAGGGAACCCACTCGGCGACACCGTCATTTTACTCGACCCAGGTTATAGGGCCAGCATCATTCAGATGCATTGGCGAAACGACGGTGAAGGATTTTCGAACAGTCGGGAATACATCCAACCCAAAGGCGCATGGGTTCGACCATACATATCTTGCCATAAAGGTGAAACCATTTCCGATGTAGGAAAGTCGCAATCCTTTACCGATGTACTTTCAGTTGATGCAGAGGTCTCGGCTTCCTTCCCCGGAGATGCTCTCAAATTCGCGGCTTCTCTGAACTATAATAACATCAAGAAATCACAAGAAATGAAAGATGTAAAGACTTACGTCAGCCGTTCCTACTGTTTCAATTACGTTGCTGGTATACCTATGTCCATCAAATGGGACTTCACAGCGGCTTTCGATGTGGCACTACGCACGCTTTCGAAAAATTTCGAAGAAGAAGCTCGCGGGATGCGTTGCACAACGAGGGATTACCGTGCCAACCCTACAGGCAAGGATTGCGTGGAGTTAGGTGTTTCCGCTTGGATGCGCCTATTTACTATATTCGGCACCCACGTTACGAGCAAGGTTTACCTGGGCGGCAAAATGCTCACGATCATGGAGACTAAGGCCTCTCAGGAAGCGGACCTAGCTAAACGTGGTATAGACATTCAAGCTGAGCTCAGTGTTCAGGCACAAGCTGCTATGGTGGATACCTCAGTCAGTGCGAGCACTTCAAAATCCTTAGTGACGAGCAAAGAATCCTTGGATACAAGGAATTCGATGTTTGTTATGGGTGGCAACATTTACGGTAATGGCCAAAGCTTGATGTTCAACGATTGGGCTGCCACCGTATCTAAATTTTCAATGCCAATCAAAGCGGAGTATACTCCAATCGCAATGTTTTTGGATCCCGAATATATGGAAGCATATAATGACGCCTATTTATTTTATGGCAA